AACCATTCTATGATTCTGTGACTAGAGAGCATTAGTTCGTGGATTTCATTCCTCTGGTACTGGACTGGAAACTTCTGTGAAGAATCAAAAAAAAAAAAAAAAAAAAGCTACAAAATTGTGCAGAGCTGGAGAGTTTTCCCCTCCAAAGCTTTTGGGCAAGAAGCCACATCTTTTCCACTGCGTCTCTGTCAAGTGATATTGCAGAGAGAGAAGCAAACCAACCTTTCCTTTTTTGCAACAGTAAGGTTGGCTCCTAACTTACTGGTGCCCTATGTAAACAACAACCAAGCACAAAAAGGTATCAAACTTTTCAGTCCTGTCCGTACAGTAATTTCTTTAGAAATGTCAAAAATTCAAGCCCTGGCAGTGTTTCTGATTAATGCCTGCTTCTTATCCTTGAAACATTTGTTTTGTGGCAGAACTTTAATCAGAGAAAATCATCTAATCTAAAGGTCTTTGGTTTATTTCTTTAGTGCTGGAAGATGTATATATATTCAAAAGCCAATGAGCATCTCCTCATAGGAATGTACATATTGCCTTCATCTGTCTCCCCTTATGAGCCTGCTGTATGTTGACAAGCCCTATGGAATTATTTCCAGCCTGTTCAATTATTTTTTTTCCCTTATTCCACTGTAGGCACAATGACAAATCAGAGTTGCAGTATAAAATTTATTTTGCTGGGAAATTACTGTGGTGAATTCAATGTCGTGCTGGTTACTTGTTATATTTCAAGGCAGAAGAGCTATATTTCATCTTGGGGATGGAAGAGCAAACCACAGTGTGCAGGCTGGTGGCTGCTCTGTCACCAGTTTATTGGCAGATTTGGGGAAAAAAAAATGCATTCTCTTTTTATTTTTTAGGCTAGATATTAGGATGAATTATGGCACTAGCTATTCAACAAGAGTCAAGTGAAAAATTTAACTCCTTGGAGAGTTGTGGGTAGTTCTGAGCTATATTAAGGCTTTTAACTGTCACACTCCTGCAGATCATAATGAACAGTAGTGGGTAAAAACCCACTGCTACTTTAAATCGGTGTCACCAGTGACTCAGAATATCTATTGATTTTTTTTTTCTTTATTCCTACCAACAGTTTCAATTAAGATTCAGCAGATCCACTCTGAGAAAACCCTGTATAAAACGCTTCATAGTATTTTGGTTTAATACTGCTTTTTAAATTCAGTTTAAGAAATCAGAATTTAAAAGTAATTATATCTGTAACACATTAAAACATCAATCTAGAAGGCTAGTATAATACCCAGTTCATAGCTTTTGTTATAAATTTTGCAGTGTATAATTACTAGAACATATAAATATAAATTTCATGAACTTTTTTCGAACAACAGCTATGCAAATTTGAAAAGTAAATTGTATTCACCCAGACATCCTACTTTCTGAATACAGGAGAATTATGGCATGGTTTTGAAAAAAAAAACCCACACCGTGTTTTCCCTGCAAATAGTGTCTGTACCAACACATCATCTGGACAAAATGATTACAGGCTATTTGCTTTACCCTTTGTAATGCACTAAGAAAATTTCAGTGCTTCATCCACACATGAACCGTTTGCTAATTTGGGGTTTATAGCACATTTGTCAGGCCCTTTACCTGTATTTGTGCATTCGGGGGAGGCTAACTCCAGGTGCGCAGCAGCTGTTGTTCCACATAGGATTGTGTGACGATATTCTGCGTGGAAGCCCAGTGGAAGGAGAACAACCTGAGGCTCTGTCATTCTCCAGATCTTGAAAGCTGTAGAAAAAGAAATGAGAAGGGCAGCCATTAGGGAGAAGAGCAAGATGCATGTGTAGGATAAATGTATGTTAATAAAAAGGTTTGCCTCCTGAGTCACCGGGCTTCCCAGTTAGATTTCCATATTGGCATGTGGCAACTGCTGTAATTGCATGCATTAAAAAATAATACCAAGAGTGTAATATATTTTTAGTTCTCGCTACAGCAATTTATCAACTAGAAACAGAAAAAAGAGTCAACATTGTACTGTTAGACAATTTTCTAAAGACCATCTGAGATCTGTGGGTTGTCATTTGGAAATCTTTAGCAAGAAATCCTGAAGTACAACATGGATATCTCTGAAATGCCTTTCAGAGACACATACCTTTGTAGCTGATATATTTGTTAGTTGGTATATGTAGATCTTTCTGAAGTCTTCTGCCATTTCACAAACATAGATTGTCCATTTCCATTTTCAGTTGGTAGGCTTCCATCCCTTTTCCAAAGCAGGCAAAATTTTCTTTGCTTTTAAGACTATGTGCTGGGGAACTTCACATGTTAAACTCAATTTCACTGCCATCAACCTTTGGAGGCCTCTGAGAAGTGCATTAGCTCTCCTACATGTTTGTTTTTCTACTGGCTTGGAAATTAGCAGGTTAAAATTAAAAAAAAAAATACAATGCATATCCTGCATAGCAAGTGAAAAATATTGAGAAATAAAATGTTATTTTGTGCAAAGAAGGATTAATTAATGGAAGCTGCACCAAAACGGGTGATGAAATTTCCTGTACTGTAATTTTAAAATGCCAGAACAGGAAGAGACCTTCAACACTGAGTGGTGTCCAATGTTCATGACAGGCTCTAGGCTAAGGAGCTATCAATTGTTTGCACACTTAAATATATAATTTATTAAGAAGCTGGAGGAGGGTTGACATAACCGTTCTAAAGCTTTTCCTTCTGAGAACAATCTGAGGCGTTCAGTCCATATTTTCAGTGTTCTGGCATTTCATCATTGAAGGGCTAATGTTCTTTGGCTGTTTTCCTGAAGAAATGGAGGATAGTGTAAATTTACATTGTTAAGAATAGTGAATATAAAGCCCAGTGCAAGGAGGATTTAATCATGGAGAAATGGCACCATTGTAAGCCCAGCACTCCCCAAGAACCTGAGACCCTCTGATGCATTTTGGTGTTGTTGTGAACCTTGTCTATCACTTACCTGTGCTGCAGCTGTATGAGAAGGACTCTGAAACACACTCACAAATCAAATATCTAAATCTGGTCCATGTGAAGGTGGTCCAGTGATCTTGGAAGGGAAAGGAGAGACAAGAATTCTTAGAAAAAAGTTGAGCAGGAAATCTCCTTCATGGAAAGGAAAATTGTGAGACGGGAGAAGCGAGATGAAAAATAGCTACGGTGGGGGAGATGGAGGACTAGAAAACTCCTCAGGTCAAAACAATAGGAAAAATGTTGAGGAAATGTGAGAAAAGATTTAAAAAAAAAAAAAATTAAAGCAAAACTACTCCAAAATTAAAAAAAATCATTGAGACCAAAAAAAAAAAATAATTAAGCCATGAAGAAGTAGAGAATAAGACTGATTTGGAGAAAAGCTATTGATTTAGCTTTAGCCTGTGCCTCTTTGTGAAATGTGAGTTTAGAAGACCTTTGGTAACCAGATCAATAAAATCTTTAAAATCATTTAATTAGATTGAAGGCCAAAAGATAAACTTTTGTGTTAAAAACTTCTACCTTTATTTGCCAGAACAGGGGTAAAAAGTGTTCACTGTTTGTTTACCTTCCCATTGATTTTTCCTTCAAGCTGAAGAAAAAATGTATTACATTTGGACAGAAGAAGGCATTGAAGTACCTTCTCATGATTTAGAAATGTAGAATACAGGGCAATGGTCACTTAAGGGTAATTAAAACTATAGAACAAATGACAAGTCTATAAAGATTAAAGAGGAAGCAAGTTTGTATCTATGTATGAGACAAAACTGCTGGCAACTACTGTCCAGCAATACTACCTATGGAGGATGATTGACTTTATTTCCAGCTGCTAAAACTAGAGAATGTATTTCTTAATTTAATGCTTACTTCAAATGTAATTTGTTTAGGTTGTTCAGGTGTTAAATCAGGAGCGTGGTAAATTTAAATATAGAGTTTTGGTTGTATGTTATGTTTTTATGAAAAGAAATCAGTGATAACCAAATACTGTTTTTTAAAAGACTGTGTTATCACATTGGTGTTTTACATTAGTAAACAGGTAGTTATTATGTGCATTAATATCACCTTATTAATTTTTCTTTGGAAAGAAGCAAACATCACTGTATATTTATTGGTCTAAAAGTCTTATATTGTGTTCAGCTCTTCCACCATTAAGATCCACCTTTGGAAACAAAATAACTTCACAGATGATAACATACTAATTGTCTGTGCCACAAAGCTATTTTCTCTGAAGGGACATTGTCCTGTACCTTTCTAAAGCTTCATTTCATGCATCTTGGTTTGACGTAGTAATTCTCGAGTGTTAAATCTGAATTAAGTACTCCTACACCATCATATGTAAGCTTTAAATTACATGGGGATGAGCTTGACAAAATGTGCTCAATGCCTGACTTTTTCAGAGTCTTTCTCAAAGAGGGCTGAAGGTCACCTTTTGTTAACTGTACGATTGAGACTTGATTGTACATTGGTTTGAACCTGTGTGGATTTCTCTGTGTTTTTAAAAGTGCTCGTAAAACAGTTATTTGTGCTCTGTTACTGTAATATAATGCCAAAATAAAGGTCACAGAAATTTATGTTTTTACATTAAAGTATCTAAGAGGAAGTCATGGAGTCTGATCTTTGCTGTGCTCTGGAATCAGCAGAGGTGGATTGAAAGCTTTTCAGCCCCCAGCTGAGTAAGCTGGGAGATTCAGGGTTTATTTGGGTTGGGTTTAATCTTTTTTAAGAGCATGGGCTTTTCTTCCACCTGAGTGTCAGGCTTTTGGATTAAAATTTGTGTTCAGACATGGGTTTTAGTATGTTCCCTTTATAGTTGCCTCATTTTCAGCATTTCAGAATCTCCTGTAATGTATAGTGTCCTAATAATCCACAGCATCCTCGAGCAAAAGAGAGCAGGAAAAACTTAATTCAGAACAGTGCATCTGTTTTTCTTTATGATTTGTTTGCAGCCAACCTTTGATAAGAGCTGGTTCATACTTGCAGATTTTTAGAATTCATTTGGAGTGTGTGCTTGTCTGAACTTTTTATTAATTCTCTTCTTCTTTGCTGTGCAGATTACAGATAGAAGAATCTTCTAAACCTGTAAGACTATCACAACAGCTGGACAAAGCAGTGACCACGAACTATAAACCGGTGGCTAATCATCAATATAATGTAAGTAGCTTTAAGTATCTCCCCTTCTGCTAGCCGGGAGGAGTCTGGCTTAGGACTCCAGAATCACTGTGCTGCTGTCCTGCAGCCCTTTTGCTCGCAGTTGGTCACTGTCTTTGGAAATATTCCATGTTATCTGGTTTTTCCCTGATTTTGTCTTGTGGGGATCTTCTGCCTCAAGACAAATATCACCCTTGGGGCTAAGGTCTGCCATTTCTAACTCTCTCATGTTACCTGATGGAGGGCAGACTGCCTTTATTCAAGCCTTTTCTAGTGTCTTTATTACATTTTTCCTCTAGTCTTTTTTTGAAATGTAATTCCGACATTTGGGAATAAAATGCAGTTCTGGCTTTGTGCTATGAGATGTGGAAGCACTCCTCTGAGCCAAATGAAATATCATATGGAGGTGGGTAAAAGACTTGAAAAGAATTGTTAGTTTCCAGTCCTTTGCAGGAACTGACAAGTAGAAAAGAGTAACAGATGATAATTTTTCACAGTTTCATACCTTCATAGTACGTGTTATTTGCATCATTAGCTTTGTCAATATTACACCCACGCTGCTGTTCCGGATCAGTTGATGTACATACAAACTATAATGTCCTTTTTCTTAAAGATCCTCTTTGAGTAATTTGTATGTATGCATATATAATTGCTGTTACTGTTGAATGTGAGAAATGTTAAGTCATACTGAAAATGAGTCACTCTGTTAGTCATTTAAACTTTTACACTTTTTATTAAGATTTTATTTACATAAAACAAATGACAATATACTGGATGATATTTAAGCATTATTCTGAAAGGCAGTCTATTTTCACAGAACCAAAAATAATAATTTCTCTCTCATGGGACTGTTTTGTAGTAGTTACTGTTCAAAGTCTGATCTATACATAGATGGTCATACCAATGTAGGTATTTCAGCTAACGGAATGACATTTAACCAAAATAGTCACACTGGTATATCCTGCTATGCAAATACAATTTTATATGAGTAATTGTTTTATGATGCTACTGTTATTCTCCTTTAATTCTGGAATAAGCTACAGTGATGTACAGCTTCTCATTTTAGCAGGGTTCTGTGCCATTTCCCTGATGCTAGCATAATGACAACAGGATGACTTCAACCTGGAGACAGTCTGTGAATCTTTATTGCAGTTGCAAACTGCTGTTGTCGTGTCATTGCAGAAATTTATGTCTTATGTGAGATTCAGGGGGTATAACCAGGATGTAACCAGGCTTCTTAAAAGTTATGATGCTCTTGTGTCCTAAATGTAATGTTTTTGTTGGTTACATAGATGTCCATGCTAGTGGAAATCCATTGGCAATGTGTTTACTTTTCATGTCTACTTTAAAAGTGTTCTGATGGACGTGCCTACACTTGAGTCACTCTTGGCCTTGCCTTGACTCTAAAGGCCCAGGCACAACTACTTTCTACAGCATCTTTCTTTTCATTAAGTCTTTTATTAAGGTTCAGGTAAGATGGCTGAAAGGGTGTACAACTGGGAGAACAAGTCCATGAACTTTTTAAACCTCTTGGTTAAATTTTTCTGCTGTTTTCAAGCAGCAGTTGCTTTCTTAAAACTTGCTGCATTACTTGTAATCATATGACAGCCCTGTTGGGGACAAGACTTTTCACAATAAGAAAAACTGTACAAACTACTGTACGTGCTGATACACTCAGTCATCTTCTGGGGAGTTTCTGAGGAAAGAATGAGTACCTACTAAATAAGAAAGCAGGGGGTAACATTTCCTGAAGGAAAAGATGATAGAATATTAAATGGAGCTTAAGTGTGGCTGCTCCATGTACCCATAAATGGACATACAATAGGAGGAAGGAGGGAAAAAGTGGATGGGAAATAGCAATAGCTTGTTTGAATATAAGGACAGGGAAAGTTGTTTTATTTTTTTCAAGAAATTATATTAAACCCACGTTTTATTAGAAGAAATTGCAATTCCATTACAGTATATGCCAGGATTATAATTTAGCTTTTCTTCTCTGGGAAAGGGACCTTCATTTTATTTATATCTGTAGATGATACATGTCTATAAAAGGTTTCAATGTTAGTGTCCTTGCAGCTGGAATCTTTCTGTGACTTAATTATTTTTCATAACACAGCAGAAAAGTTCTCTAGTAGTCCTAGTTACCCCTTCAGAGGCTTCTTTGTGGTCTCCCCCCATCCCACTCTCCTATGCTATAGACGTTCGTACCTGTGCTTCAGGGGATGGGAAAACCTTTAAGATTTCTTTCAAATATCTTCAGATGAAACTTCAGATTTAGTCTCACTTCTCTATCACCTTTCTATTAGCTGTCTACCGAAGCAGTGTAATACATCAGCTTCAGTATTAATGATACCTTCAAGTGGGCAATTTTGGCAGCTTTTCAGCAAGCTTAGCGACATCCTGGGAAGGTAAACAAAGGGAAATTGATTTCTGTATGAAGCCTTGCAGGGATAAACTCACAACTTCTACATTAGACAGCATGTTCTAAAATGGTCCTTGCTTGAAATCAAAGCATCTTTTAATGTTTTTTTAAATTTAAAAACCACACAATTTTAAAGAAATCTAATTAGTTTACAGTGTACATGCATTCTGTAATATGACTCTCAAAAAATTCTTTAAGCCTACTGCATAAAACATCCTGTTTGCAAAGAAAACAAAAGGAAAAAAATGAAAGGCTGCATTGTAACTTGCTATGAGCAGTGTATTCACAAGACAAAAAGAAGAAAACAGCGACAGATACCATGCTTTTTTTTTTTTAAATAGCACTTCACAATGCGCTCTGTGTTTTTAGACAATAGTGGGAGCTGTTGCTGAAAGTTGGAGGGAAATGCTGGAGTGTTGCTAATTAAAATGTGGGCAATTTGGGATGCCAGCTGCAAATAACTTTTTAACAAAGAGAGGCTTTGATATTTAGTTTTCTGTGCGCGTTGTTTTTATACAGTAATGAATTAAGAATATTAGAATATTCACATTGCATTTGTATAGGGAGTACAAACACTCATCCTTGATTTACTTTAGCTCGCCCAGAGAATATAAAATAGTTCCTACTGAGGAGAGTGTACCAAGGCACTAAAATAATAGAGAAAGAAGAATGCTGGCCATTACAGTTTACTAGCAAAAAAAAAAAAAGAAAAAAAGATTGTGCTGTGGTTAAAAAGACTACTTCATGTTATTTTCCAGGAGACTGTTATTCATATAATTAGGATTTTATACCCAGTCATGAAATAGTCCTGTCAGAGACCTAACGTCAGTGAAGATAATGTTAAGAATGGCCTTATTGGTACCTTGTTCCTTTGTGTAGGAAGCATCAATTTTAAAGCGAGTAGGTTTTTTTCTGGGGAGAGTTGTAGCTGGTTGCTAGTGAAGCACATTTTCGCTATATGTCATTTGAAGAGGCGCAAACAGCACCATGGATTTTTTGTCGTTGCTGTCAGAAGATTGTCTTGAGAGTCCCAGTAGCTTTTCCCATTGCACCTGTGTTACTCACCCATTATATTCCCATAGCTCTGCTGCGTACAGAGTGAATAACCTCAGTGCTTCACTCTTGTGCTTGATCCTTAAAAACAAATCAAAAACCAAAAAAGGAGGAGATCGGTTTCTTCCATCACTTCAGTTTGACATTCTGTCTGAGGAGGTTGCAGTTTGTTTGTGTTTCTGTTTTTCTTCTTGTTCATTTTGTTTTTGTTGTTCAGGCAGGTTGAAAATTGCAAAAGGGTTGGTAAGAACAGGCATAGCAGCTGCTGCTGTGGTAGAGTGTGCTGCCTGTTGATTGTCTTTATCTTTCACACCACATCTTTCAACCAATGTGTTTTCGAGTTAGAGAAAAGTTGCTAACCTCAAAACAAATGCATAGGTCTCTACACTGTAAAGTGACCTCAGGTGTATGCAGGAACCCAGAACTCAGTCAAGCACTGCAAATAGAGATGCCTTAATCTCTCCTACTGTCTTCTGGACTTGACCTCTAAAGTATCGGAGGCTTTTCTGGCAACAAATTAGGGCTGGATAATGCGCCCGCTCCTCTTGTAGGATGTTAACACATGCAAATATTCAAAACATTTTTTAAGTTTCCAGCCCTAGTCCCCCATAAGCCCATGTCTCAAATGTAATAGGGCTCTACTACTGAAAATCTAGTAGAGTGTTGTTTACTGATATCAGCCGTGACCTGATCAGCAACTGCACAAAGAAACCAGAAAATTCTGTGGATTCCCAAGTCAAAAAAAGCTGAAAATTCATCTTGAAGAAAGCCTGCTGCAGATGATTTCAGCGGCTAATTAGAAAACTCTGCTTCCAGGAGAATACAGTGTCAATGTCTTGATTTTTGCAGAGGACCACATAAAGTTGTAGTTCCTGCTTTCCTTCCTATGCAGAAGGGAATGTACAATATATCCTACAGGATGGTAATTTGTGTGTTTGACTATGAACTGCCAAAGAGAAAGAATATGGAGCAGTTTTCAAACAAAGCCAAAAAGAATTTTTTGTACCCAACTATATTAGATTATTTTTTGGGTTGCTATTGTTGACTCGTTTTCTTCTGAAAACATAAGCAACATGGCGGTACCTGCAACCTTGTGCATGCCAGATATTTTCTCTATCTTGGTTTAATTCCATGTAAAATTGTGATAACTGCCATACTTTGTGATGATCTTATTCATTTATTTGAAGCACTTTCAGTCTTATTACTTATGGGACAGCAGGTTTGCCCTTTGACTCTCTCTGGATTAAAAAGCAAAGAAGCAGGTTTCAAATACAAATAATGTTAGAAAATAGAAACAAATAATTGTTCTTGTAGATGGAAATATGACTTCTGAAATACACAGTGTAATGGGATTCTGATCATAACAAGTGCTTTTCAATGCTACCGTGAAGTATCAACTTTAGACTGTAGCCTGAGATGTGACATATCCATGTATTTTTTTAAGACCAAAGGGACAGCTATCATCCTAAAATAAATTTAAAACGCATGTCTTAAACCCTGCATGCTTCACTGTCCTCAGGATGCACCCGTGTCCTTGCAGCAAGTCCCTGCACCATTGCACTGAGTTAGAGCATGACAGTGGTAGCAGATGATTGGTCTGGAGAGGTGGTTTCTCTGGCAGGAAAAGTATAAATGCTCATCATACATCTTAGTAAATTCTGACTAAAGCCAGCTATAAATTAAAAACTTTTTGCATGCTGCAGACTGACTAGTGTCGGATCCGATGAAGATAAGATGCAAAGAACTTTTTGTCAATCAGTCCATGTAGTGTATTGCTTATCTTGCAGACAGCGGAAGAGGCAAGCACTTTCACACATCTCCCATTTCATCCTACATTTCATGCAGCAAAGGGCCAATCTCCTCCTACTTCCCATTCTTTGTATCATTTTTTTCAGTGCTTCACAGAAACCCTTGCTCACCTACCAGGAGGGTAGTGCTGTAGGTCATAGCAGACTTTTAGGTGAATGAGATTTTCCCTGCTTCTCCAATACCTGTATGACTATGTGACTATACCTAGTGGAGGACTGGCCAACTGCTTTGTTGCTGGAGTTCCAACCAACAGAAGCAGGCAACCCTAAGAGCACCCTGGCAAAGAATTCAGCTTGCAGCCACGGGAATGGTGTCATATGATAGTCTTTAGCTGTGTAGTAATTTTCTACTCTATTAGTGGATTCTGACTGTATTTTGGGTTTGTGGTTTTAAAGAGTGTCAGCTGAGTAGACTTGTTCATATATATTTCAGTGCCATTGCAGTTCTACTTCATGTGTTTATGACTAGATGCAGTCTACTTGCATTATCCTGCATAGTGAAACTGTACCACCTGACAAACAGAAATTGAATCCACAACAGGGTTTCCAAAGCTTACAATAAAGACCTTTTTAAGGTCAACAGAGCTTCCTAATGAATTGTCTGTTGGACTTTCAGAAGAAGCAAATGTTTTGACTATTGTTTATAGTAAGGCAAATGTCCTAGATTTATGTTCCTACTCTAGTTTTCGTGGTGTACAGTTCTGCTGTAGATCATGGCAACCAAGATGATGTATTGTGAAGCTTCATACTACAGTTCGCTATTGTTGCAAAGCTATTCCTGTTTTGAAGATTTTTTTTAAAATACATAGGCTAAAGAGTTACATAATTATGCCGAAGTGTATTAGTGGATGAAAATAAATTGTGTGGGTTTTTGCAGAGAGGTTGTATATTTTATAGCACAAGCATACGACTGGAAAAGCAGAGAGGTATTTGGATGCCCAAACCCATGTTAGGTTTTAAGCAAGAGCAGCAAACTTCAAGCTATGGGTTGCTCTGCATTCAGTTTAATGATGTACATCTGTTTCAAGAAATGAAAGAGTTGGCTGGCCAGAGACCTGTGAGCAATGGCAAAGGTGGTAATAGTCTTTAGCCACTTTGGGACAAATACCAAGAGACAGGCTATTTTCACTCAGAGAATAGGAAGGAGTTAGCTGGCAAGGAAACATAGGAAAAAATAAATTGTGTCATAAAACTAATCTCTCATAAAAAATAAGATTTTTAGTATCCAGTAGAACTGTGAATTTTAATTTCTAGGCTTCTTCTCTGAAGGTCTTCCTTTTGAGGATCAGGATTGAGACATCAGAGGCAGAATGAATCCCATACGAAATTATCCCACTGGCAGCCAGGCATGTTTCCCTTATTGGTCACATGCATCTCTTCTGCTGTACGTTGGATCTGCACTGCTTTGAATCCACCCACGCAGTTTGCCTGAAAGCACTTGCTGACTACATGAAATATATTACCTTCTGGGTCACCTTTGTTGGTTCCAAGGAGCTTGATGGTTTGCTGTTGTTCGGGGTGGTATTGGAGGGGAATGGGGTGGTGGGCTGGCAGACGCAGTTGGTGCTCTGCGGTGATTGGGGTTTGTTTGGGGTGTGCTGGTCTGTGCGAATCTTGCTTCTGATGATGAATGTGAGGAAATACAGAAAGTATTTTTGAAGGCTGGCAGTGATAAAAGTTTCTACAAAAATATATGGTCATCTTGTGCAGATTATTACAGCTAAATGCTTTTTAATACACGTTCTGAAATAGGATGATGTGTGGCAGTGAGGGGCCTGTACTTGGGTGGGTGATTATTTTTGGACTACCGTAACTTTGTGTGTGCTACTCAGGTTTCTCCTGAAGAGATCTTGAAGTGTGTCTTCACTTGGTGAAGACTGGTTTTATATTGATGGAGTGGTTGCATTGAGTGCTGTTTCTGGAACAGATGAGGCAGTGTCCAAGGGCCATTTGAGCATCCTTTGGGCAGGTGGTTGTTATGATTGTGGATTTAGCCATGTTGGTCTCTGGATTTTCCCAAATACGGTAATTTGTAGGTTGTTTGCTATTTATCATTATACTTCAGAAGCTGATATCAGCATAGGTGGAGTGAAAATACTGTCTCAGTTTGGATTCCTGTACTAATATTAATTCTCTCAGCAGGTTTGGGCACATCATGCAGGCTATGTTTCTGAGGTTTTTTGCTGGTTAAAGCAGAGATACATATCTGAAAATCTTATTGTATGTACTGAGGACAAAATGCTTAGTTTATGTTCATAAAAGAACATTTGAGTGCTCAAAAGAAAATTTTCCAGATGAAAAGCACTGAGTCATTGAACAGTGTTCTACTGAATAGAAGAGGTTTTTATGTCTTAATGTTCAGCACTGAGAATTATACAGTGTTACATATGAATGTTTTTAAAATGTGGTTTGTATCTGATAGATTGAATATGAAAAGAAGAAGAAAGAAGATGGCAAACGGGCTCGAGCTGATAAACAACAAGTGTTGGACATGCTTTTTTCAGCTTTTGAGAAACATCAGTATTACAACATTAAAGACCTGGTGGACATAACCAAACAGCCAGTGGTACGTACTAGCAGTATTGTAATATAACCATTTTCAGTAGTTACTATTGTGTATATTTTCCATATCTAGAAAATAGTTTAATATATGCTGTATGCCTTTGAAACAGCTCTCTAAATGTCTTTTACAAAAAAATTGAAATAATAAAGTTTTAAGTTCACTGTCATAGAACTGTGTAGGATACCAAGCATTGCAGTAAGTATGCATTTTCTTGGCAGAGGTGATTTCAGTAGCCTAAATGGTCTCTTTCTTATTTAGGTTCTCTTTAATACTAGAAACCAAATTCTATAATGCTCTGATGTCTCCCATGCCACTCCTGTCTTCACTGAAGTAATAGCCTATTTCTGTTGCTGTTAGCAGTAGAGAGCTTGTGCAAGTAGGTGGTCAGTCCTTCCTTTGGCCTCTGAACTTAATCTTGGCGTAGCAACAGGGGTTACTCTTTGTCTGTGGGTTTAGAAAATTGTGTTTCATGGAATTAGTATTGAATGCACAGATTATCCATGTTAGGAGCTCAGACTTCATGTCAATACCACCAAAAACATTTGATTTCCTTTACAAATAGAATAATCTTTAGAGTAGGAGTTTGGTGGTTTGATATTTGGGGTTTATTTTTTGTTTCTTTTAAACACTGTTTTGATACACAAGCAAGAAAATTATGAAGGTGTGTGCTCACATGATGGTTGTGCTATCCTGCAGTGTCTGACAGCCCCTTCATCTATGAACACTAACTTTGCAGGTCTTTCCCTTTCTCCCCTGTTCAAGCTTTCCTTGAGCAGACCAGGCGGGAGGTAAGGGAGACAATGACATGTAAAGTATCTTTGGTGCTTTTGATGTTTTTCACTGCTGACTTAGATATATATCTTCAACCTAGCTGCAGTTTTCAGAAGACTTAAAGGGACTTAATTATGTTTGAGTTTAAATGGAGCAACAATTTCAAAAGTTGTTAGAGGGAAGGCAGAAGAAGGAACAGTGACAGCTGGATTATGGAAAAAATATTCCTCTGTAAAAGAGGGGAAACATTGAGATGCTTACCAGTTTTGCTCACTTCACATTTAGAATTAAGTGGAGCTGTATCAGAGGATTTTTATAATACAAGGTGTTAAATTTGTTTGACTAAGAAGCTGCACAAAGATATTACCCAATTCAAATACATGTAGAGTCATGGTATTCTAGTACCTTGGAAGAAACTAGTTGGATAATGTATTCATGTCTTCTATTCCATTCATTTATCTTATGAGTCAACTCCTCCTCTGTGTGGCAGAGAAGGTGTGGAGATCATGGGAGCTGAGAAGGAGCAATAGGAGGAAGATCTGGAGGGAGTAGCAAGAAAATGTTAATTATTTTTTTTTAAGAGATAGGTGTGACAGTCACTATCTTGATCACTTTAGATTTAAGTAGATGCAGATTTATCCTGTCTAACATGACTACAGCTAGAAATAGTCACCCGCAACTCCCACTGAAGCCATGGGAGAACAAAAGTGTTCTTCCTCCTGTGATGTGATTTGCCCCTTGAATGTACTTGTCTCTCTGCATCAGCTCAAAGGAGGCTGGAAAAACTGTGCTTCTGACACAAGTTCCTTCATTAAGCGCCAAAAGTTGTGCAAGATTAATCCAGTTTTTGTTCTAGGATTACATGTATAGGGTAGTTTTGTATTCTGTGTTTGCAAAATACCTCCTGACATGAATACTTTCATTGCGCTTATGATAAATTTCTATGCCTGTCTATATATGTCTGCTGTCAACATATGCTCTCGAATATATTCTGCCTGTAGCATAGTGGATCTGTGCTGTGTACTTTCATCTCAGCAAATCTAGCCCTTTTTTTTCAACTATTGTAGTGATACAGGTAGGTTAAAAGGAAACTGTAAACTAATTTGACCCAACATCACATTATTTGGGCTATGCCTTTGAATCTGTGTTTCTTAATTGAGCCTCTACAGATGGCTAAAAGTCCTGCGAGGCTCCTGAGGTTAGTCAACCCTTTTCTCCTGAGTGGGCTGTGTGGTCTCAGTTTTGAGCTGTGTGCCAGAGCTAGAGGTTTCATGTTAATTCCTGGCTGGGGTTTTGCTGTAGGTGTCAGTGCCCATCCAGTTTCCTCATACCCAGATATCCTGAGAAAATAAATTACCACAATCCTCTTCTTGATGCATTTCTTCATTTACTCAGTAGCCAGTATGGTGATAAATTCAAAACTGTCTTTCAGTGTGTCATCTACCCCTCATCTAAAGCTATTGTAATTTCCCATCTGGGTTTCCATTATAAACTTCTGTAGGGAATTGCTAACGGCATCCTTTTCCATTTAAAAATACTATATCCCTCAGTTCCTGCTGCGCAGCCAGCATTTGCTCTGTATGTGAGCATCCATGATGCTGCAGACTTCAGCCTCTGGTGTGCAACTTTTGTCTTTTTTTCTGCAAATAAACTAGCTGTTCCTAATGCCCGCTGTGACTTTATTGTTTACAGAGCAGCTATACCTGACAAAAAATGTAAAATGCCAAGAGGTGAATAGGTATGCTTTCCCTGTGCTGTGCAGAGGTTGGCTGCTAATTAATCTCTGCTGTGTGTTCACTGCTTTATTTTCTGTCATAGTATCTAAGATTGTCTGGGTATGTAATTTCTCCTCTGAGTTTCTAAATGTTGAGGTTATTTTCAGACGTGAGGAAAAAAATGCTGCTGCTGTCTCCTCAGCTTCTGTTAAAATGAAGTTCTAGGTGCTTACATCACTGGCTAATGATATTTAAAACACATTTTTCCAAGGGAATCAAAATCTTTGTTAGTGAAGTAACACAAATGAGGGTATTTTTCACACATGTAAATAGTAAATAAAATCCTTGGTACAGAATACGTTGCATGTTACACAGGAGGTTGCTGACATGTTTATTTTGTGATCATGAAACCACAAAGCAAGTATTTTCTGAATGCGAACTACCATTATATTAGGGAAACCTGGTTTTATTTGTTTTCCTTTTTAATGAAAAATAACAATTTGCAGTAGCAGGCAAACCTGTTGCCACCTACCCATACGTAAATACCGAGTGGTCCCTGGAAATATTGAAGTAATTCTAGATTTAGACTTAATGTCTGAGAATATAATGTGCTTTTTATGTGAGCAATCAGATATTTATGAAGAATGGAACCAGTGGTCTAATATGAACTGTGCTTTTTCCAAATGGGGTAGATTGTTTGCATTGTTTTCTTTTATTTCAGCTTGAAGTAATGGTTATCCTAAAGATGGTGGGATTTCTTTTCCCCTCAAAGTTTCAGAAGGGTTTTCAGAGCTTGGAAGTTAACTCCTCTCTCAGAAGAGGTTTTTATCCCATAATTCACTTTTTGTGGAAAAAATCATGAGGGAAGGTGTAACAGAGCAGAGGATGCCTTAAATGTACAGATTACCTACAGATTAGCTTCTGTGATAGGATTATATGTGTATAAACATATTGAATCCCTTTCTGAGAAGAAATTGTGGGCTCCTCGTTAGCACTCACCAGGCTCTAAAATTCAGTATTTGGCATCACTGGAGGAAGTGGGGAGTTTCTCTTGATGATACCATATCAGACTGAGCAGTGTACCAGGCTGGCCTACACATCTTGAAGAACACTGCAGACTGAAAGACGGAAAAGTGAAGCTGCAGGAAAAATCATAACATCCCCTGAACTCATCTCATCAAGCCACTTGCTCTCAAGTGTGGTACGGTACAGCAGGATTATCCCTGATCTGTAATGGTCTAAACGCTCCAAGAGTTCAGTATTGTCTGCCTCCGCAGAGTGATTTTTTTGAGTTAATGCTCTCAGCTGCCCTCCCCAAAACCACTGCTGCTTGTTTCCCCCTGAAGCATAGATGCCAAGTGAAAATACGTTGGAAATCCTCAGTTGATGCAGTTCACGGTCGCAGTTCACGGTCCCAGCTTGAAGTGCCCGCCCTTGTGGCAGAGATGCTACCTCGCTGTTCTGTTTGGGTTGGTTTTGTTCAATTTTGTTACAATGTTGAATCAAAACTCTTAGAAGTTTTGCCCAGAGGGAAGCAGAACTGCCTGGGGAATTAGATCTGAAAACCAGTTGAAATTAAAAGTAACCTTTGTTTAACTGGGTGGGTGGTTCAGAGACACGAGCACATAATGAGATGAGAACTGCATTGTGCAAAATGTTACCAGAAGCCACAGACCATGCAGCCAAAGTGGGTTTTGTTCTGCCTGAGCCCTTCGGCGTCATCACGCCTTGTGACCTGGCTTTCCAGATGCAGACTAGGTCTCAGCCCAGGAACTGCATAGAGATGTACTTCATGGGATGAGGTGCAATTATATTTTTTTTCCAATTCTCATTACTCTGTCCATGTGGTCTGGTGCAGAATTTAAGCTTGAATGTGAGTGTGTTTCTTCCACCCACTCTGCCATCTTTTGAAGTGCCTCTCAGTGCCAGTCCGGATTGCAAACAAAGCAGTGGATATGCAGGTATACACATCTACACATATATATAGAAATCCCTTTTCACATGTTTTCATCACCATTTAAAAAATGCATTGCACAACAAGAGTGCCATCATCAAACCTGTTTGCATATTAATTGCTATTGCAGTGAGCACATTTGTCTTAGACACCTGACTCTCAAATAATGAGAGCATCTCTGCAATAGAGGAGATGCAGAAAGGTGTGTTAAGAGATGTGTATTGATCTCCTGCTGCCACCTGCTGGGGTTTGCGCTGTGAACCCTCAAGGACTGAAGAGGCATCCCCGCAGTGCAAAATGACACCCCCCTCCGCGCCCGGCTCCTGTGCACAGCCGCTTTGGTCGAAGACAACACCCTAAGAAACTAGTTTGTGTATGCAGTCTGTTATGCAGACTTGTCTACTTGTTGGACAAAATGACAAAACAACCTTGATTGCTTCAAGATAGAGTCTTAAGAATTACTTTCCTATGTGAGTCCAAACGCAGTATCATCATTAGTGTGGGATCCAGATTGGTTTGCTTTGTAAATTTATGATATGTACCTGGCAAGAGAAACAATCGGTTTCTCTAAAAGAGGCTTTTTTACTGACTAAGAACATACTACTTATTTATTTCACAATTTTTCCATTTAGCAAAAAATGGGAAGAGTGTAAGAAAGAGACTGGGCAATCAGCTTTTCTTTTTTTCCTGTGTCATCCACAAATATTTGTGCTTTTTTTTACAAGTTGGAATATGTTGATATTTTTGCTTAGTGGAACTGTAAATACAGAAAATACAAGGGTTCCAGTAATTCCAGTTCAATATACACACTCAAAGAGCATTAAATCACTCAAACTAAAGCAATTATTAATTTAATGTGGGGATTCTTAAACTGTGGTCTGCGGTTGCCATGGCAATCCATTCAAGTCAGACCCGATTAATATTTAAACAAACAAGCAGGCAAACAGCTCTTTAAAATAAGAAAGAAATTACTGGTGTTTATTCTAAAGAGTAAAGGAGGGCGATATTGGTGAGCTGTCTTGTGTCGAAGGTTATAGTACTGGTTATCATAGTTTTGGTTTTTTTTCTTCTTAATTTCTCTTCCTAGCCTTAATATTTGAGTATATTAGAAAATTCCCTGGTACCTACTCAGCTCTCTAAAAAGGAGGCCACCATAAAATGGTTAAAGCTTTGCCAAATGGCACAAAACCCAACAGCTTGGGGTTTTGATGGGGTATGAATAAGTCAGGGAGTTTCAAGATAATCCCAGCCCAAGGAAGCTGAAAAGCCAAGAGCTTCTAGCTCAGGTGGAGAAATTCCAGCAGGAGGAAGATGTGTGAGATAACGGGTGATGTACAGACCTGCACAGTGGCTGTGTCCCACTGCCCCAGGGAGCCCCTCAGGCGCACTGAGCTCCCAGGGCAGAAAGCCTGCCCACACCCCTGCTCCTCCACAGTTGTGTGAGAAGCATAACGGCACACAGACTTTTAGACCAGCTGTCTGTCTAACACCTGGGGTAACTCAGGCATATCTCCACCCTTCAATTTTGCAAGTGCCTCATCTTGAGATGGGAGCTGGGGAGCATCTCCGTGAACTCACCCGTGGGTGGGTGCAACTGCTGCAGGTCTGCAGTAACCTCAGCATCGCCCTCGCCGAGGCACTTCGCTTCAGCAGCCCTTGGAGCATCCATCTAGCCAGGACCTGCTTCTGCACACCCCAGCGGGGCTGCATAGGGACTGCCCGGGAGCCGTCACCCCTGCGGCTCACGTGCTCCCTGCTAAGCCTCTGGGGCATTGCACCCAGGCTGCTCCAATCCCTGCTAGTGCCTGGGGGCTGGACTCTTATCACAAAGTCATTATCGCACAAATTAGTGCTGATCAGCTAGCGTTGCTGTCCGCCTGTCCACCAAGGGGTTTTTATGAACCAAGTTGATGTGATTGAGCAGACTGTGTGATGTCATGTAGAAACTGGCAATTGCCTGCCTGTATAATTTAAATTTTTGTTTCCTTTCAGATATACTTGAAAGAAATTTTAAGAGAAATAGGCATCTACAACGTGAAGGGGACCCACAAAAACACATGGGAGCTGAAGCCAGAATACAGACACTACCAAGGAGAAGATAAGAGTGATTAACAAAAGTGTTTACGAAGAGAGAATTAGAGTGATTGCACTGAGGGAATCATTGTGGGTTTACAGACAGGACTGAGCACAGCACAATTCTGCAAGGCTTAAGTTAAATTAAAGCAGCTGATAGTTTGTAATTTTCCTAAGCTTCTTTTTTTTTCCCCAAGGAATATTTCTTGTACGTTTCTATAAGTGTTTTGTCTTTTGACAGGAAAAAAAATATTTATAGAATAAACTTGTATTGGATTTATCTTTATTAGAAATCTTTTGAGTTCAGATCTTACTTCTTCTTGATAGCTTTGGGGCTTTTCCAAGCCTCGATGACTTCAAAGGAAAACGTGTCCTAGAGGAACCCATAACTTTGTGGGTTTGCATTCCAGCAGAACAGGGTTAATACCCTCACTTCTGCTGGGATCTGTCAGGGCTTCATCTGGAAGGCTGCAAAGATGCACAACCCTTTGTGCAGTGTTTGGATGGAACAGACATGATGCTCCTTTTGGGATCGGGGTTTTAGGAGAAACATCCACAACCATGGTGCTCATCACAGTCCTTAAACTCGATGGGAACAAATTAGCACATTTAAAAAACCCCTAAAGCACAGGCTGTTTGGTACACAAGTCAGTGGGAAGATGACAGTCCCCTCCAGGTGATTACTGAGAAAAAAAAAAAATGTCTGGCTATTAGCTATGTCAAAGAATTGTTTATCTTCTGTTTTTTATGATGTTACCTATGTTTTATGTTTAAGCATATCAATAAAAGCATTATTTTAATTTTTACCACACAATGTTCTACATTATTGACTGAACACATGTAGTGATTGAGATAGCATACTTATTTTGTTGCTGACTTTGCCACTGGGTTTCCATGTGTTTTGGGGAAGATTGGGTAATGTGTCTGTGTCTCTGTTCTCCCATTTTTGAAATGCACATTGCAAGGGTTGTCTATTCAGCATCCTTTTTGCAGGGGAACAGGAGAGCGATGGCATAGGACTATTTAATTATAGTCTCAAAGCTTTTATCTTGAAAAAAGAGCAAAGAAAACAGAGTGGGGAGAAAACTCAATAGTATACCTGTAAATGTAGCAGAAGGTGAGATTTTATAGCACAACTGTCACATTCTTTCAGGTCCTTCAGATGTGTGCATCACTTTTGCAAATAGCAGTAAAATAATCAGGTCTGTATGAAAGCAGACATTCCATTCTTGGTCCACTTGGAAGCACTTAAAGATTCAGAGCAGAGTCAAATGCCTTCAGAGGTTTGTAAAACAACTATGACCCCTTATGCATGTCACACATTTTAATTTTGCTCAATTCACTTTTTCTAGAATTGTTTGTGTAAGTATCTCTCTACAGATACACTTCCTGCTGGTGCTCAGCTTTCCGTGGCATGAACTGACCAGTTCCTAGGAGATGGACTACTAGAGTCTTTTTTAAAACCAAATCATGTTCTTTCATAAATATTGCTGTTGACTCCTGTCTCCGCAGGCTATGTGAGCAGGACCTAGCTTGCCAACAGCTGCGGGAGATATCTGTGAGGATGCTGAGAGGAACCCAGGACGACAGCCTTTGTGTCTTGCTACAGTACATTATGTTCTCCCCAGCCATAGCCACAGCCTGCACACATTGCTGTCCTTATGCTGTTCGAGTCCTCTGGAGACTTGTGTTCACAAGGATGTAGGATGAGAACTCTTGCTGTCCATGAGCTGGGCTCCTCTGTTACATTTTTGTCTTGTTTGAGCAGCTAAGGTACCTAGAAAGTGTAGGTCAGCTTCCCCCTTGTGTTGCTCCTCACGTGGTCTTCTGAAACTGTGCAAAGGGATGTCATGCAATCCTGACTCAGTGGTGTTGTAACTCAATGCCACAGGTAAAAATGACCGTACTGTTTCAGAGGGAGAAGGTTACCTTTAGTGTGCTTCCCAGCAAAATTAGCTTAGCAGAAAAGTATTTTGGCTCTGCTTGCGGTTTTAGTTTTATGGGTTTACTGCTTCATAATTTGTCTTCAGTTGAGAGGGATGTAATCAGTCAGTGTGAAATGCCAGAAGATCTAAGTGAAGTAGGTATTTTATTGATCTGTGGAGTGCCTTTGGACAGAGTAAATAGGCTCTACTTAGGAGTAATGGAAAGTGTACAGAGCACACCATTTTTTATGGAGTTTATGTTTTTTACAAAAAATATAATTTTTATGGGCATCATAAAAACACATGGAGAGTGCCAGAAGTAAATGAGCAGTGGAGTTTTGAACCAACATGCAACAGGAAGGTTGAGGAAGGCCAAGGTTTTGCTTGCAGCCTTCTCTAGAAAAGTGCCGGTCTTCCAAGATAAAAGGAAAACAGGACAGTGAGGAAACTTCCATTTCAAAAATGGAACTAGGAAATGCTATGGCAGGAGAAACTAAGAAAAGATAGCCAATGGACAGTCCAGAGGTCAGGCATCTTGTGAAGCACTTTTTTGCCTGCTTTGTGCGTGATTTTGAAGGCCTTCTAGATTGTTAGGCTACACCTGGAATTTTAGCCCCAAGTGCAACCACAAAATCCATGTGGAATGAGTCATGGGCACAATGAGCCTGCAGGGGTGCTGACCAAGGGGATGAAAGATGCTCTCCTGTACCAACCTCAGGGCCTGCACTGTGTGTTCAAGGACTCTGCTGGCTCCTGTCTGGTGGGAGTGCACCTTAACGATGGAGATGGAGTTGTTAGGTGCCATTGGCAAGTCATCATCCAGTCTGCCACCAAGCCATGGATGTTGCAGCACATCCCAGAGGCAGAAGCAGCAGGGTAGACATGCTGTTCTAGGCCCCACATTCTCCCTTCTGCAGTAGCTCAAAGCACTGCGGGACTGGTCTAGCTTCATGTGAGGCTGCAAAGAACATTTGGCATTTGGGGCAACCTCCTTTGGATCCAGCCTGTGATAACCAGCAAAAACTCTCCAGCTCCGCTTGTTCTGCAAGGAGACCTTAAGCAAGTGGTGTCAGCAGTACTGCCATCTGCCGAAAGAGAGGAGGAGGAGGAGGCTTGTAGGCATTCAAGTCTGATTCCCTGGCCCCCACATTTGGATCAATTTAAACTCTGAACTTGCAGCAGTGATGAACACTGATTCCCTCCTGGTCTTCCCATGTGCTGCTGTCTCTGCTCCCTGATGAACTCTTTGCTCATGCAGCTGTTCTTAAACAACAGTGGTCAAAACATTGGTCCACAAGTGGGTCCCATAGGCACTAGCAGAAGTATCAGTGTGCTAAATGCCACTAAATTAAAGTGTGTCTCATCTAGCATTACTTCTCCCAAATTACCAGTTCTTTTGAGCCATAAAAGAAATTTCATACTCGCTAAGCCCAGTTGGTACCAGCATGGGCCTGAGGTGATGCAAGGTGGCAGCAATGCAGCTGCCCCAGTAGTGACATCCCTGTGAGCCTGGGGGCTGCCACTGCTACATGAGGAAGGGGGGTGGATGTGAACCCACCATGGGACAGACTGGTCCCAGCGCTCTCCTGCTTCCCACCCTGCCACCTCACAGCTTTAAAATCTGCCTGCCTCCACTGCTGCCTGCTTCCTCTGCAGCCCTGCCTGCAGCCAGCCCAGAGGAGCTGGAATGGGAGCAGAAAGCACCAAGGGCGAGTATTAGCTGCGTGCCAGCAGAAAGTTGTGCAGCTACAAGACCTCTCCTGCTGACAGCATGTCTTTAACACAGAACTTGGAGTGGCATCAGAGTCCACTAGCTTCTGTGATCCCAGTGGATGCTCCCTAAAAGTCGTCCATGCTTTGAGTCAGCTGCACATTGTCTTCACCAGCTGCTTGGAGTTGGCTCCAGCTGAACGTACCTCCTGCACATGTCAGCTATGCCCACCCACGTTCACATGTCCCTGTCACCAGGATGGCATTTTCATTAGTTGCTGTATTTACTGACTCCTAACAAATCATTTTTCTCACCAACACAGTAGCAGAGCCAAGCTGTTGCTCCAGGCTCACCTGGAAGACAGCTTTGCTTCTTGAGCTTTTCAAAAAGCTGTGGCTGGGTACAACCCACCCCTTTTCTCATACCAGTGGCAGGTCTGGAGGACTCGTGGCTCTCCTAACCAAGGCTGTGTGTGGCTACTAAGCTGTGCAGTCAGCCTTTCTCAGAGCATGTTTAATTATTTGCACAAAGATGACAAACTCCAACAGGAAAGCTCAAAAAAGGCCCATTCCAGAAGAGCTCAGCACCTGGTGCTGAAGCAGGTGTCTTAAGGTTCACATCTCTTGTCTGGATCAAGAAGGTTAAACTCTTCCACTTTCAGCTCTCAAACTCAAAACATTTTTGAGTTAATTGCATTTTGGAATAAGGAACTGATAAATATCTTTGGATGGGAAACATGAGGCACTTCTAAGCCAGAGCAGTCAATGAACACAGGTGCCACTGAGCATCGCTTCAGCTAACCACACCTAGGGCTTGTGCCATGAGCAAGATTCAAGCACCAGCAGCTGAACATACAGCAACCCTGCTCTCCTTCCCAGCGCTTGGCTGCTTGGTACTGGTCATAGGAGTAGTACCTCAGCCAAAATGTGTCCCTTGGAGGAGTGCAGCTATCTGAGAGGAGCTTTCTGCTCCTGACAGCATCACACAGGGGCTTGGGGTTTTGCAGCCAGTATGTTTGCAACTACAGGCAAATGAATAGAAGGGAGAATCTGCAGTATTTGGTTTCCAAGCTAGAAAGGAAGAGAAGAACTGTTTCTTTTCCCCTCTAATCCATTAACAAATTTTACCTTTGGAGCTCATTCTTAAGAGTGGGATTTCCATGGAGACCTGAGCACCTCCAGAGGCAGGGAAGAGCTTTCAGCAACTGTGGGACAGATAACCAAGTACTGAGCACCAGAGGAACAGGCAAGGGCAAAGCCTTGATTAAAAGCGACAAAGGAAACAATGGAGAGTCCTTCCTCAGCTGCCTGGGTCTACGCCTGCATCCATCCAGCTGTCCCACCAGTCTGGGTGGGAGGATTGATAGCACTGGGCGGGGGCCAGAAATGAGACTGACCCACCCC